CCCCTTCTAATCCTCTTCATGTCGTCCCCCAATTTGTACCGCTCCGGGTTATTGCCCCCTCTCGGCTCTCAGATGGTTCCCCCATCCTCGGAGCCTGGTCGTCTGTTCGTCCGTTTCGCCTCTATGTCTCTCGTCGAGTTTCCTGCTTCCTGGCCCATCGCGCAAGGGCGAGACCCGTCGTACCGGGAGTCGTTCGAGCCCCTCCGCCCGTTGGAGGACTTGCCCCCGTCTCAAGCCAGCGACTATTCCTCCAAGCTGCTCCCTCGGTTGGCCCCCGTAGTCCGTTCACATCGAGCTCCCGCTCTCCCAGTCCCCCCTGCAGCGCCCCCGGCTGCCGTCGTCTTCCCGCCGAATCTTGTGGCAGGGCGAATTCGACCGCCTAATGAAGGCCGGTCTGTGGCAGCCGCTTGTCTTCGGGCCTCATCACCTCTATTTCGGTGTTCTATTTGATGCGTTCCCCTCCTCCTTCGTCTGGCGTCGTGAGGACGGCTCTCTGCAGGATGTTCGCCCCTTGTTTGGACAACTGGGTCGTGGCCTTCTTGCGCACCTCCTCGCTGCCGACGCTGCTTCTCCCAGTCATTCGTTTTTTCCCCGTCTGTGGCGTTGGGTGGTATGTCTCCCTCTCTGTGTGCTTTCGGCTGTGTGCTGACTGGCTCCGTTCAGCGCCTCATCCTTCACGCCTTGTCTTGCGCCGCCTCTATCGGCCTCCCCTCCTTCGTCTCAGACCGATTCCTCGTCTTAGCCCACGTGGCCGCTTTTCGCGTGTTTCCCGGGGAGAACGTAGCTCGGCCTGATACGCTGGCCCGACTACTGGGCCCTCTCCCTCCATCTCTCGTGCCGCCGTTCCTCCATGCCGACCGGTGGTCGTCCTTCGTTCGGGTAGTTTCCTTGCCTGATCCTCGGGAGGAGTTTGCCTTCTCGGGCGGCCCCTCGTTGGATGAGGCGGAAGCGGGTGTTTCGTTCAGCTTCCTCCCGTTGGCGGCCTGGTTGGATGATCAATTCCCGAGCCCCGAGAGTGATCCGGAGGGTTCCGAGTCGACGGCCCCGGTTATGAAGCGCGCGTTCCCCCTGCTCCAGTGGTTCGGGCGCGGTCTTCGTCTTCGATGGAGGTCGACGTGGAACGGGATGGTGCCCCGCTGGTTTCGACCCTACTTTTCCTACCTTCCGACTCGGGTTCGGATTCGGATGTGGAGGTGATCGCCGGCCCTCGTCGTTTGTCTTCGGTGGGGATCGACGCCTCTGAACACGAGTCGGCTACGGATGCCCTCGACCCTCCGTTCTCCCCAGCCGTGTCGCCTGCCCCGTTGCAACGGGATTTCGGCACCCCCTTGGCCCCTCGTCTAGAATCCACTGGACAGCTGGCGCTTTTCCGGGGGGAGCCCTCTCGTCAACCAGGAACAGTGATCCGATCCCTTTCCCCTCGCTGCGAGTATTGCATCGCTCATGATCGTTTGTGCACCGCGTGGGGCGTCCCAGATAGTTCTCCTCAGAAACTCCCTGGTCCCGTGCGTCGGGCTTGTGACGCGTGCAGCCCGCTCCATCGTGCCTGTCTGCGTTGGCGGTCTTTTGCAGATGCATACAAGCGTCAAGTCGAGGATGGCGAGTTTGCGCTGCTACGTCCCGATCCCCGCTTCGCCGATCTAGTCGGGCTGTCCGCATCGGTTCCGTACCGATCATTCTTGTTCTCCTATTTGCCCCATTCAAACGAGGATCGGTTCCCGACCCCGACGGTCGGGCCTTCTCCGGGCCGTCGTCGCCGCCCTGTCGTCCTTTCATCAGTGTCTTCTCGGGACTCCTCCCCGTCCCCCGTGCGAAAACGAGTTCGCACCCGCTCGCCATCTCCCCCCACCATCGTCGAGTCGGCCCCCGCCGAGGCCTCGCCCCAATTTCCGCCGGCCGGCCTCCCCTGTCGCGGATCGCTCGTTAGGAGAGGCATCGTCCCGGCCATACGTTCGTGCGGGTGAGACCCGCCCTCCTTCTTATCCCACCATGGGTTTCCAGGTGCCCTCGTTCCCTCGAGTCTCCCTGTGGTTCGGGAGAGAGTGGGACTTGGATCGGGCTATTGCCGAGTCTCGCCGGTTGCATGGGGACTTGTCGGTACCCGCCGACCAGCGCTTGTCGCCGTTGGGCGTGCTGTTGTTGCAACAATCGGCGGTCCATTCGGCCGACGGGGGGCTTCCCGGATGCTCGGACCCGCGCCCTCGCGGAGTTGTCGTCGATGCATTCCCTGGACGCAGACCTCCGGTTGGTGAACTCGCTGGAATCCCTGACAGCATCGCGAGACGTTGCCGACGTATGCCGCTATCTGGGCGCCATCCTCTTAGCTATCCATCGGTCCGAGGGAGAGAGGTCGGGATTCTGGGAAACGCCGGAGGGTTTAGAGCGTCGGGCCGCTGAACGAGAGGTGTATGCGAATGTGTGCCGTCAGGACGGCCTGAGCTTCGACATGATGGACCTGGACTAAGCTTCGGCGGGTCGTTGGTCGTCTTTCGGCGACATCGGCCGGAGTTCCCCGTCTACTCGGGTCTCGGCGTTCGGGTATTCCCGTCCTTTCGTCGGCTGTTGTTGTTCGCGCGCCTTGCCGAGTCGGCCCCCTCCCGTAGGACTTCCCCGTGGTGATTCGGACTACATCTTGTTTCTTGTTTTCGTTCGTGTTTTTTTGTATTTTTTTGCAATCAACTAGTCGTCTTGCGCTCGTTCGTCGTGTGGTGGGTAAAAACAGGAGATTTTATTATTAGGGGCCCGAGGGTCCCGTCAAAGGTTAAAATAGAGCAGATTATGAGAGGAATAAAGATGGCCCCCAGGGCCTTCGTACGGAGGGGAGATGTGCCTCATTTCATCAGGCAGAGTGTGCCGGGGCCCTGGGGCGGTCCGAGACGATTCGGATCGGGGTTCGGCCGTACGCGGGGAGAGGCGGTGAGTTGTTGAGGCGTCGGCGCTTTGCGGCGGGCCTGGCACCATGGGCCGGGCAAGCGTGTTCCATGTGCCGATGGTGTTCGTCCAGGGAGACCCGCCTAGGGGTGCCCCACTTCAGGGCGGGCTCCTTTCTCCCGTAGAGGACGCGGTTTAAGACCACGGGTTGGGCTTCGAGGGTGCGTCCGTATAGGTAGGCAAGGGAGGCGATGACGATAGCCACTATCGTAGCCCACGCCGGGAGTGCGATGACGGTGGTAGTGTCCATTCTGTTGCGGGTGTAGGGGGATCGCTTAGATTCTGTCAGACTGCGGGTCGGGCCGTGCGAGGACTTCTCCTAAGAACGCGCGCCCGGAACAGAACAGACGGATAGTCGGGCCCGCAAGTATGGCGGGCGGGGTAGATCGAAACCGAAAGGGCCCGTGAACTCGGTCCCTTGCCGTAGTCGGTGGTCGAAGGTTCGAATCGGGTCGTGTCGGGCCCGATGAGTCGATAGCGTCTCCTCGCACGGAGTAAGGTAGTTCTTCAGACGATCTAAGCGATAGAGTACAGGGTACACTATCGCGCCTTATATACGCAGGCCCGCAAAGGGGGTGACCGGACACCCTGGCCTCTCCTCCTCCTCCTCGCTCCCGTTCCTGGCCGCAGAGGGGACGATCGCACATCCCTTGCGGGCCAGGCGCTACTCCTGACCTCCTAGCACTCCTCCCCAGTCCCCTGGTGTCGAGTTGGGCTCGGCGACGGCTCGACACGTCGTTCTCGGTCACGTGATTCCCACGTGTGCGTTCCTCCTACTGGGGCGCATGTTCCCCGTCGTCACGTGCTGCGTGTTACGGGCCCGCAATGGCCCGACACCAGCGCCGGAGCGGACGGGCCGGGTCTTATCCGTGACAGCACGTAACTGGGTGTCTCCGAAGCCCGAGTCAAAGAAGGGCATGAAGGTAGCCAGTAGGTAGATATACTCACTCTAATCTCTAATGCACGCACTGGTCCCATTTTGGCGATCAAATGAGTCGGACTTGTTTCGATGTTTCCACAAAAGTTGTGTTCAATGTAAATAGCTTTGTGTTTAACATTTTGTGATTGTGTCCAGGTTGTTACATTGTGTTCAATCCGACATTGGGTGTGTCGTGTTCAAGGTGGCCCGGCATATGAGGACCGTGATGCTGTCGGATCGTTCACGGTCTCTACCCCATAGAGTCAGAAAAGGTTGATCACCGTCCAGGGGGTTCAAAATTTGAATCCCGGATATAGGGTCGGATTTCTGTTTTTCTGTCAAAACAAAGGATGTTGGGTAGGTTCTGGGTTATAAATGTCCATTGGAGTAGTCTGTGCAATAATCTGCAATTATAGTTAACATTTATCCTATCGTAAAAGTCTCATTACTACGTACATATTAGCAGGTCAAGCCTTGCGGTCACAAGGGGGGTTCAAAGTTCGAATCATGGATATAGGGTCGGAAAGTTTTTTTCCGACCCCCCCGGGACCCCCTCCCTCCCCCTCCTGCCATATATAGTAATATATTCTCACGATCAGTGTCATGTGACCACTGATGCGATCAAAAAAGTGGGATAAAAAATTCATTCTTTGTGAAACTTTTTTTGCAAAAAATTTATACATGTGTATATGTATATGTGTAGGTATGTATTTACCTAGAGCCTTCAAACACACACATGGCAGGCCATATCAACACTCCAACATGTTCACCTATCATCAATTATCTGATGATAGGCCTCTGACAGAGTGGGCTATCCAAGCACATGGGCCTGAAAGTATATAGATATAAGTAATGAGAGTGCTGAACTATAGAAATTAGAAGGTATACACTATATTTTCAGTGCCTTTATACCCATATAAGGCCCAAATCTTTTATATACAAAAAGTTTTTTTACCCCCCGGGGACCCCCCCCCCTCCCCCCTACCCCATGTGCCTGATAAGGATCTTGAACCCCCCTTGTGCGGTCAAGCTTTTTTTTTCTTGTGCCTGCGCATGCGCTGAGCATGATGGGATCATATCGTGACCGACATTTCGACACCGGGCGGAGACGTACGACAATGCTGTGTTTTCCCTCTTCCTCCCGACCACCATGGCCGCTGGCATGGATCCCCGTCTCCCAGAGGACCTGAAGCACGCAATCTTCGAGCACGTCGCGATAACGGAGCCCGAGATGATGCCAGCGCTGATGCTGGTTGCCCGGAGAGTGCATACCTGGTGCGCATACAGCTTTACCCATGCCCCGGCTTTGTGCTCACTTCATCCAGGATCACACCGCTGGTCTTCCGGACCGTGCGCCTGAACAACTGGCCGCACGCGCTCGCCTTCCTCCACGCCGTGCTGCACCGACCGGCCGCGGTCCTGCCGCACGTGCGCCACCTCGCGCTGGAGGGCCGCAGCGCCGGGCCGCTCCTCCCGGCGGACGTCCTGGAGCGCATCGTCGCGCGCTGCCCCAACCTGCACGCGCTCGGCACGACGCCGCACTACGACAAGCACGCCGCGCTCCTCCCCGCGCTCGCCGCCGGGCCGGGCCGGCTCCGGAACGTCACCACCGTCCTCCGCCACGCGCTGGGAACCGGCGGTGCGGACAGCCTCCTCCCGGCCTTCGCACACGTGACGCACCTGTGTCTGCTCGACGAGATCACCGAGCAGCCCGCGCGCGCCGCCGTGTGCGCCGCGCTCCCGGGGCTGGCGGCGCTGACGCACGTGCGCCTGACGGCGATCCAGTACGCGCGCCGGCCGGGCGTTGCGGCGGACCTGCTGCGCGATCTGGGCGCGGTGCTGCGGCGCGTGCCGGCGCTGCGCGTGCTGCTCGTCACGGGCGTGACCTTTGGGCCTGCGGCGCTGCAGCTGGGGGCCGCCGACGGGGACGCGGACATCCGGCTCGTGTTCGCCGCGGTGTCCCACGACTACGCGCGCTTCTGGCGCGCGTGGGAGGACACGCTGCGTGGCCGGGTGCCGGATCTGTGGGCCCGTGCGGAGGAGTTCGTCCAGGCGAAGCGCGAGGGGCGGATAAATGGTGCGTCTACTGGATCCTGACAATCTGGCGCGAATTGACCCTTTTCTAGCTGCAGAGATGTGGTTGGCACCAGAGTGATATAATTTTCCCCGCGAGGTCGCACACTGTGGCAATTAAGTAGATGAGAATACAGCAGATAGGATTTGGCCGCCGCCAAGGGTTTTGGAAACTGGTTTGTGTAAAACATGGTTCTGAACAATTTTATCCAAAACCCAGACTACATTGAGCAATCATTGAATTGCAGCCCCGATTAACTGTGAATTTTGCTTGAGTGCTATCTCCGCGATTCCATCTGCTGCACAGCTGGGAGCGGGATCATGATGGGAGTCAGTCACCCTGCCCGCAGATCAGACCTGTCCACAGATCACTGAAACTGTTTCACCACCAGATGATCTGTCCGCGGGAGATGAATTGGCTCGGGGCAGCGGAATGAACGATACACGCATTACAGGTGCTACACAATTACACAGGATACAACTTGACAAGAACTCTATGCAGGATAGGTACATACTACATACACAAGAGACGGATCTGAGATTCGGCGGGCCGGGCTACGCAGCCCACAACCCCGGATCGCGGGCCCGGGGCGGCGTGCGCGGCGACACAGGCGACGGCGACTCGCCCGGCACAGACTCGACGAACGGGCGTGCGTTATTCCGCGGGCGCCAGCTGCTCGGACTGGCCGACGGCGCAGGCGAGGCCTCGCCGGGCCCGGGCCGCACGCTCGCGTCCGAGGCCCCGCGCGGGCGGGTGCGCGCCGGCGTCGGCGGGGAGGGCAGCGGCCGCGGGAAGGACGCGCGGGAGTGCGCAGAGGGAGGCAGCGGCACGTGCGCGGGCCGGACGCTCTCCTGCGCCCGGCCAACGCCAGCAGACTGCGCCCGCCCGAGCCCCGCCGCGGCGAGGTCAGCTGCGACGTCCACCGCCGCGGCCGATCGCGTGCGCCGCATCGAGCCCGGACCCGCGCCCAACGTGGCGCCACGGACACTGTCCGCGGTGTTGGCCCGCGGCCGACGCACAGGAGCGATCACGTGGAGAGACGTTTCGCGCCGCATGCTGGAGCCCGCAGGCGTGCGCGGCGCGGGGGTGCTCGGGGTGCCGCCGGCCGACGACGCGGAGAGCGCGAGCTCGGGCATGCTGAGCTGGTGGTGCACCAAGAGCGGCGCGGGCTTGGGCCTCCGCTCCGGCAGGCTAAGCTGTGAGCCGCCGACGGACCCGGCAGCGGAGGACGCGGGGCCGCCGCGCCGTGATGCCGGTAGCTCGATCCACGTCGGGTTGACGACGAATTGGTCCGGCGGGATGGTGGTCGAGCGCTGGCCGCGGCTGCGCGTGCGCGGGAGGCGCGGCGAGCTCGGGCCGGCAGTGCGCCGGCGCCGGATGAGGAGGACGATGGCGACGGCCGCAAGCACGATGGCCACGGCGCCGCCCAGCCCGGCGCCGAGCGCGACGCCGAGGAGGCGGGACTGGCTGCTGTCGCGCGCCACAAGATGGAGACGGGGAGGGAGGGTGGGCGGGGCGGGTGATGTGCGTGGGCCAGCGAGTGAGGGCGGTGGTGTGGGAGACAGGATGGATGGGAGGTGGGCGACAGAGTCAGAGCCAGGGCCGGAAAGGGAAAGCCAATGCGCGCGGGGCTGGTAGCTGTACTTATACTTCGTTTAGGTCCAGTGCCATGGAGATACGACTCACCGGATACGGCGAAGACGGGCGCGCCACACGTTGCTAGCGGCCAACGGCGCGCAGGAGTCAGAGCTGCAGCGGGCGGGGGAGGGAAGTGGAAGAAGGTGGACAGGTCAGCGGGAGTCATGCGTTTAAGTACCGCCGGACTGAGGCGCAAGCGCGTAATTAAAGCCCGCGATCCCATGCACGACGGGTCAGGGCGAGGGCACGGAGATCGGTGCACGCCCGGGGCTGTCCGCAGCTGTAGATGCTCGACTGTTGCACGGTGTGGGAGCCTGAGCTGTGGCGAGGGAAAGATGGAGAAGACGGATTCGGACGCCGGAAGATGATCAGCGGGCGGATGTCAACGGGCGATCATGCATCATGCGATGGAATTCTGCGATGGATCGAATCGACGGAAGGCTGTGGCTTCCAGGTATATGTGTATCATGCTCGCAAAGAGCCTGCAAGAAGCGCATAGGTGGAAGACCGAGTACTCGCCCCAGTACTACTAGTATGCTTGGTGCTATCTGAAGTTGCGACTTCGCAGCGGCGGCGCAGCCACGCCACGTCACCACTGGCAGTCACCCTTCAAAGCCAGATAAGCTGCAGACACGGAGACGGCGCCAGCGACACACCGTACTGCCAACCGCGGGACATCCATCTGCTCGCTATAACAGGCACCCTGCTAGCAGCGTCCATGGACAACAACCGAATTATAGACCACACACGATCGGCGGTTGCACCCCCGAGCCCAGCGCCAGCCCAGCGCCAGGCCCTCCGGCCTAGGCCGCCCGTGCTGCCCAACGAGAGGCTCCTCCGCTATCGCAGCGGTATCTGCCAGTGCTTCGCAGCGCCCGATTTGGCGCGGACTCGGACGACAGCCATGAGTCACCCACAGCCGTAGCAACGACCGGTCAACCGCAGCTCCAGCGCGGTGGAAAGCCGCGCAACGTGCGGCACGGGCTCGCCTCAGCCCGCGCCCAGAATACGTCGTCGCCCGACAGCCGACATTGCAACGCGGTGGAAGGAAGGGGCGCTGACCTCAGCAGCCTGAAACTGATCTGACGCGGCAGGATGACGTCAGCGCCCAGCGCCGGCGCTTCTTTTCGTTCTCCCACCACGACGCGCGATAGGCATATGCATCGAATGGTGGGCGCTGACGAGTCTCCAACGTGCGTCATGCGATGGGTAGTGGGTGAAAAACGCCTATGATGGGCCCACGGACGTCTGCGGCTCCGCTGGGTGGGAAGGAGGGTGCGCGGTTTGGGCTTGGTGCGTGCATCCTGCCAAACTTCGACTGTCGATAAGCTCAAGTCATGTTACAGCCAGCGAGCGAGTCGCTGGATCCCTGCTCAGCCAGCTATAAGGCTACCGCTGTCGAATTTGTTCTTCCAGCGACTGAATAGTGTTTGCAGAATATACGATTCGTACGTTACGCTCCACACAACTCCACCGTCCTCCACTGATTTTCTTTTGATAAGTTTTCAGACCCACTCCTCGTCGACGTCGCCAGCAGCCTCAGTAGCTGACGTCGTGTGTCGATGACGCAGCGCGCGGTCTCCGCGTATAAAAGGCAAATTTTCTGCACCGTTGTTGCCCATCGAGTCCCGTCTCAGCTCATCTTACCCATCATACACGATGTTCGCTCTCCGCTTTGCCTCGCTCTTCCTCGCTGCGTCTACCGCACTTGTCTCTGCTGTCCCGACGCCGATACCCACACCCGCCGAGCTGGAGAAGCGTGCATCGATCGCGAAGATCACGGGCGTCCTCAACACCCTCGAGGGGTCCGTGAGCGGCATCCTCCCCCAAATTGGTATTCCTCTTACCAATCCCGGAATCGCCACCATGATCTGACCACCCGCAGACTCCCTCGTGGCCAGCGGCACGGCCGTCACCGCCGGCGCGCTCTCGCCGCTCATCTTCGAGCTGAGCACGGCGCTCAACACCGCGACGACCGCCCTCGCGCTGCTCTCCATCGGGCTGCGCGACCTCCCCGACTCGCCCGAGAGGCGCCAGACGGCGCAGGACGTCGCGGACCTCGCCGCCGGCCTCGTGACCGACATCGCGGACACCCTCGGGCCCGTGGAGGCGCTCGGCGTCGCCGGGCTCGCCGGCCTCCTCGGCACCGTCGACACCGCGCTCAACGGCGTGCTCGTCGGCCTCAACGGGCTCCTTGCCGGCGTGCTTACACTCGTTGCTGGCCTGTAAGCCGGATTCTTTGTCCTGTCACCGCGTAGACTGATGGCTTCTTTCACAGTGTTGGCCCCGTCGCAGGCATTCTCGGCTCGCTCGGCCTCGGCGCCGTCCTGGGCTCCCTCGGACTCTAATCTAGTAATGACCGCAAACAGACTTTTACGATACGAGAGCGATAATTGCACGGACTACTTCAACGGACATTAATTATATAACTGTTGCCACAACATCCTTTCTTTTGACGCCTTCAACTTACTTGTGAAACTTCCCATCGCTGTCAAAGCCTTCATAAGTTTTTCTAACCCTGCAAGGTGCGGGGTCAAAAATATTTTCTTGATGCAAACTACAGTATATTTGCAAGCGCGGCAGGTGGTAAACGAATGAAATTTAAATTGTTAGAATGTATCATCGCACAGGAATCAGGAATGTGAGGATATAAGTACTAGTAGGTCAATGTCAACATGATTTATTCTATACTAGTGTTTTCCTATCTTGGTCGGACCCCTAGAAATACGACGGACGAGGTACTCGTAGTCGTAAGGCAATGTAATATAGCTGTGGGGTAGAGACCGTAAACGATCCGACGGCGTCACGGCCGTCGTGTGCCGCCGGCCCGCAGGATGAGAAGCACCATCAACAAAACACAGTGCAAACATGGCACAACTCGAACACCTGAAACACTACAGATCCCGCCGATGCAGATACTAGTAGCCAACTATAAATACACAGTTTCAACAGCTCATCGCAGGTGCCCTTCCGCCACATCAGCTTGCTGACACCGCGATCCTTACGGAGCGGAAGTCCGGCACGGAGCGCGCCGCGCGCAGCGGCGTCACATTCTGCCGCCCGGACCCCGCCGTAAGCTTCAGCGGCGGCGTCGGCAGCGCGCGGCTCTGCGGCTGTCTCGGCGCCCTCGCCTGGAGCGACGGCGTCGACGTGATCTGGCTCGTCTCGCTGAGCAGCTCCTCCACCGCCACGTGCAGCGCCGCGATGTCCTGGCTCACGACCGGCCCCGGGTTCAGCGACGACACGCGCACCGGGTACTTGCGCCGACTCAGGTTGGCGCTCACGTGCTCACCCGCCCGGGCACTGGCAGGCGGAACCACGGGCTCGTACGCCAGCCCGCGCGCCCGCAGCGCCGCGTTGACGTACAGCGCCTCGCGCACCGGCTCGTCCAACTCGGCGAGCTCCTCTGCGCCGGTCGCCGCGCCGAACGCCGCGGGCGAGATGCTCTCGCGCAGCCGGAGTTGGTCGCCCCAGGATGAATTGCTTGTGCGCGCCTTGCGAGGACGCTGGTCCGTCCCGCGGAAGCCGCCCGCCGGCCCCGGCCCGGGCGCCACCGCCTCCTCCGGGACGGCGCCGAAGACGAAGACGGGCAGGGTCGCGTGGCGCCGCAGACCAAACGCGCGCCACGTGTGCGGGGACTCTGCGCGGATGCCGCCGTCCGAGTGGGCGTGCACGTGAGTCCTGCCGTCAGGGGCGGGGCCAGGGCTGTGCTGCACGGCGCGGAGGGGGAGGGTGTCGTCGACGGTGCGCGCGCGGCGCCGCGGGGGGAACGCGAGGGCCGCGCGGATGCTCGCGGCGCGGGACGTCCCGAGGAAGACGCTGTGCGTCGCGTGCGGGAACAGCCGGCGCGTGCGCGGCCCGGGGCTGCTGCTAGGTTCGGGCGCGCCCGGCCCAAGCAGCGGCGCGCGGTCGTCGTCGTCGTCGTCGTAGTCGAGCCCGTGGCTCGATATCTCCAGCGGCGAGCTCAGGAACGCCGGCCCGTTGTCAACGGGAGAGTCGCGCGGGGAGGCGGGCAGCACGTGCGAGCTCTGGTACGAGCACGAGAGCGCGGTCGCGGGGCTCGGGCACAGCTCGACGCCCGCGAAGTCCAGCGCGAGCAGCTCGGGGGCCGGCGTCGTTGCCGTCGCGACGGAGAGCGTCGGGCTGCGCGGCGGGTATGCGTACGGCATCGGGATTGTGGTCAGAAAATTCGTCCTCAGCCGCGGGCTGAATAGCAGAAGGGCTGCAAAGAAGGGGATCCGCGGGAGCACTAGCACTCTCCCAGCCAGAGCCCGCACCTTTACATTGCGCACAGGCTGGCAACGCACATCAGCATCTGTTCATCCGCGCAGCCTGCGGCCAGGGACAGCTACTAGTATCAGCGGCGTTGATCATCGCGATCATGATGCGGGCCCGTTCATCGCCCAACGCGACGCAGTCCCGCTGCCACAACGGGCGATGGTGGGAGCAAGAAGCACGCCCCACAGTGCCAGGCACAGCCTCGCTGATGCAGCGGCTCTATAACTTATTAACACTGCACCAGGTCCCGTGTGCATCAGGAAAAACCTCCTTCCAGAGCCCTCCCCAGCAATTTGGGCTCATTGTGGGTAATGTATACTACTTTAAAATATGTTAGCCCATTTTACCACCATTACATCTATTACCTTTTTTACCCAACCCCCCAACTATCATACACTTTTTTACACCAGATTACATTAGTTTACATCTTATTACCTCTATGTTAAAACTTAATCTTAAATCAGTTTTGGCATACTTCATATTAGGTTGTTATATCCGTGCCGACTCTGGCAATCGACTCCGATATCCGTCTCTGGTATTTGGTTTTTACGCAATGAAGATTTACTGAGCGCTTCCAATTACCCCAACTTTGTTGGTGTTTGGCGGCTTGGCATGCGACGAGGCTGAAACGCTTGGAAAGGTGAACACACACAGACACTAAAAGAGAAACACAAAACCACACAAAACCCAACTCCAACACAAACACAAACAAACAAACACACACAACACAATACACAACCTATTCAGGACCTAAACCACCTATGCCGAGCTTCGGATCAGTTGGATCAATCGGATCACGTCGGAGTTTGATTTGGGGTAGTTTGGTTTTTCACAAGCGCGCAAGTTCGGGGGCTCCTACTAAAGTATATAGCAGTTGCAATTCAGACAACAACTTCGGGTCGATTATGTAATTGGGCGCAATGCAGGCGATTAGGTAATCTTGAACTTTGGGGCACGGGGTTGAACACGGTCACAAGACTTGAAGCGGAACGGAGGAGACGACGGCGGAACAATACAACGGCGGAGACGGACTTAACGGACCAGACGGCGATAACGGAGACGATCGTAGACAGCGGCGATAACGGAGACAACGTAACGGAACCAAAACACAACCCCGCGAGGGCCCGGGGCAAGCCAAACTTCACTACTCTACTACTACAATGCATGCCCAATTTATATCTCTTAGGTGCCCAGCATTTGTAAGCTCCAGACCATCGGGGGTGGCTCCGACAATCGGGCACCTCCTGAATTTATCCCCTTGATCCTCCTTGGTACGCTCCCCGAGACGCGACCCCGTGATCGGCCCCCGCGTTCGGCCAGCGCAGCCTCTTCTCCATTTTACCCCAGAATGGAGCCCCTTGATGCGTCTCCTTGACGCGCCAACGCTCCATTCCTACCTCCTTGACACACTGCTCTCCATTCCAGGGGCTTAATGCTCCCCTTGAAGCACCAAATTCGTCCCAAGGGGACCTCCTTGAAGCGCTGAGTTGAGGCGGAAGCACCGCCGGTCCGGCCCCTTGATCGGCCCCCATCTTCGGCCTACGGCGTAGCCCCGCGATTCGGTCATGTGACCGCCGATCCGGCCTGCCCGGTCCCACTCTCCTGCTCCGCGACGCGTGTCTAACGTGTTGTGGGCTGCAATGTTGTGCCTATGCCACATATATGGCGCCCACACCACATCTATATCGTTCCCATGGCTTTGTTCATGCTGCGGGACACGTTCTTGACGTCCGGCGGCTGTCGGTGAAGGCTTCACCGCCTCCAGATTATCGATCTCCGGTGCCCGATCGTGATGCCGATCCCGGAGTCGGCACTATCTTCCCCCGCATTTGAGCGCTCCTCTGCGCCTGCACCACTGCTGCCTCCCGCTAGCTGCCTGGTGGCCAGCCCTTCGTCACACCGGGTCACGCGCTTCCTCGGCGTCGCTGTTGCGCTTCGCGTGCGCTCGTTGACGCATTGCACACCGGTTGGGGACGTTCTTTGATCCTCTTGCTGCAGCTCTAGCGCTCTGGCAACCACCGGCAAGGCTCCACCGCCTCCGGTTCTGATGTCCGCATCGGCGCGACTCGGTCCGGGTCACCGAGTGTTCAGGCGTTCGAATCCGCCTCAGCCCACAGCTGGGCTTTTGAAAATTGCCCTGTGGGGCGCTTGTGTGTGTTTCCCACGGTCCGCGCATCCAGCGCTCGTCATCTCCCCCAAAAACAAATATTGAGTGTCCTCACTCATCGTCGAGCACAAGGCATCATCGGTAATTGTTGGATCAGTGGTGACTAATTTGATCACCACATCTTTTCTTCTGCCATATCCATACTCGTCGCATTTCTGGCTAACTTCGGTGGTCTTCTGGTCGTATTCTCGAGCCGTCAAGAGTGCCAATGCTAATCTCCATCTCCTCTCAATCCATTCACGGCCGTTCACTGGGCAATGTCTCTCTGCTGGTGGATGAGGTGGCAGCTCGCTTTTCGCCATCTTGATATTTGACTTCAATTCTTCGGTCTTCTAGGCATTCGTCCGTCTCTATCCATCCAATTCTTCCATTTCTACATTCTGATATTCCTCTTTGCACTTGTGAGTTATTTTCCTGTTGTTTTCTCTGTGTTTCTTTAGTTTTATTTGTTATTCTGTCTTGCTTTATTCTTTCTGTTCTTTTATGCTATTTCTTGTTCTTCTGGTTGTTCATTTATTCGTTCAATACATCACCATCCTGGCCTGCAGCAATATGGCTCGGCTGTTTGCCTGCTGTGTTTGTCTTTCTATTCACTGATCCATCTATGTCTGTGCATTTGCCGGTCATTTTGGCCGATTTCTTTCGCTTTCCATGCCCTGTTTTGCTGATAGTTCTCTTGGGCTAGATCAGCCAATATTGGCAATGTTTCTCCTATTCAAGGTCCTGTCGAAGATCGCACTGGAGATTTGATTTACGATATGTGTATTGCTGAGGCTGCCCAGTTCAGAGCCAAGGCCAACGCTCGTCGTGCCCAACCCAACTCTCTCTGGGTCACCAGTTCCTTGAATTTGTGGGACAGTATTTGCTCTAATTTTGATCATCCTAGACCAGGTCCCAACCCTACTCAGTTTATTGAGCATTACCCAGGATTCTCCCTGTAATTTAACCGTTGATCAAATATTTATGTAACCTGTATTTTCGCATATTAAATTATTTTGAGGATTGGTTAAGTCCAAATTTGGAAAATCTTGAGTTCGAATCCAGCTGAAGCCATTGTCGCTCTCTAGGTTTCCGGTCACGTTTTGAACGTCTAAGTCCTCCTTCCTCTTCAGAATCTTCAGGGTCATCTTCCAATAATTCAGGGTTTTCATCTTCATCAGAGAACTCTTCTTCCACTTGAGCACCTCCAGTGTTGTTTTCTGTTCTGATATTGATCCCATCAAATTGATAGTCAGGCCCCTGATACTCCAGATCCTCCTCATCTTCAGCTTCTAACTGGTCCAGAGTTGCCTTAGAGATATCCACTAACTCCTCTATAGGTCTGGGCAAAGTGAGTTTTCTCCTCTGTTCATATGGCACCACTCTAAATCTCCCAATCTTCTTCTGCCATACTACACCATTCATATCTGCCACAATGTAGGCACCTCCTTGTGTCCTTCTGATAATGATCATAGGTCCCCACCATCTTTCCCTATTTCTGGCACTTGGAGAATCTTCATCAACAGTGTTTCTGACTAAGACAATATCAGCCGGCCCAAAATGGAAATCTTTGATGACATGTTGATATTTCTTGGAATATTCTGCTGCTGATTTGATCCTCTCCTTCAGCATTCTAACCTTCATTTCTTCCACATGTGTGACATGCTTGGCCAATGCTTTTGCCCTGAGTCCAACTAAATCATCTGTAGAAATAATGGCATCTGGATATTCTGCTAGCCAGGTTGCTTCTGCTAAATCCAGAGGTAATGTTGGGTGTGCTCCAGTAACTGCAAAATATGGGGAGCATCCCATGCCTCTTCTGGCTGTGATTCTATCTGCCCAGAGAACTTGACGGAAGAACCAATACCATTTCTTCAGATCTCCTCCAGTAGCTTTAAATAGTGACTGTCTCAAGTCCCAGTGCCCTCTTTCCACAATTCCATTAGCTTGAGAGTTGTAGGGTGCAATTTTGATGCCTTTGATGCCATACTTGGCCTCCAACCATTTGACTGCAGCAACAAAAGGAGAGCCATTATCTGTGATTAGTACTCCAGGGCATCCCCATCTGCATATGATGTCTTCAAGTAAGAATAGCCCAATCGACTTGGCATTTTGCTCCCTGATTGGTCTTCCCTCAATGTATCTTGACAAAGCACATCTAGCATCCACCACATAGTTGAACCCATATGACTTCTCAGCCATATACATCACATCTGCATGGACCTTCTGAAATATTCCTGGTACTTTTGCAACCACAGGCGGAGCTCTCATCAAGCTCTGCTTCCTAATCTGGCAAAAGTGACAAGTCTTGACATACCACCTCACATCTCCGTCCATGTCAGGCCACCAAAATCTCAACTCTAGCAAGGCCTTAGTTGCAAAGCCTCCTCTATGTCCTAGAGCATCATGAGCAGCTCTCATCATATACATCCTGTGCTCTTTCTCCACTACCAATTTGTGCATAGAGTCTTTTCCAATTCTGTACAATTTGCCATTCTTGCCCAAGAAGAATTTTGTTGCAAACTTGATAAACCTGTTATACTTCTGGTCATCTTCCATATCATCTGGTCGCTCCAAAGGATTCTTCAGCCATTCTTCCACGGTTGACAATTTGTCATCTTGTTGCTGAACTCCCTTATGTCTGTGTTCTTCATCATAAGGCTCTCTCTCAGCCTCATCAATCTTCAGTGCTTCATCTGGTAGCAATAGGTCTTCAGAGGTGTCATACTGCAAATAGACAGGCAT